CACTACACAGATCAGACTCATAGTGATTCTCCTGTTTTCAGCCTCCCAAGTGCTGGAATTATAGGCATGCACCATCACGCCCAGTCTCAATCCCTGTCTCGGCACACCCCAGGGGTAAGGCCAGCACAGCTCACCCAGGATCAAACCCAGGTCCCTCTGCCTGCCTAAGCAGGCACTTTAGTCCACGGAGCTGTCTGGCCGACCCTACAATATATGTTGAATGGGATATGAACCGCAGGATACTCCACCTATCCCTGCTGTCAGCATTTTGTTCACATTAAATCCTTGTGAAGGGACTTACTTCCTAAAATCTCTCCCTTTCTTTCTCCCCACTCTCAGGAGGAAGATCAGAGCATGAACGGTCCAGTTACTGCCTCCTAACCAGTCCACGCAGCTCTTCCTACCAGGCCTTACCACCTTACCTTGTAGTCCTCCCCGTAGTTCTCCACCATGTGGTGTACATAGTCAATGAGGTCCCGAGACAGGGTATTCCCTTTCTTCTCTGGGAGGCTGGCCTCTGCTTCCAGGTCTAGGGTGACAGAAGCCAGATGCAATGAGGCTTTGCCTCTGCTGTGTTTAAGCTATCCATACACCCTTCACCCAATCCCATGCCATAAGAATTGCTATACAAGGCCATTCTCGGGGTCAGGGAGATGGCTCAGTGTAATAAGCGCTTCCCTAGCAAGTGCAAAGGCCTGAGTTCAATCCCCAGTTCCACAAAAAAAAAAAAAAAAAAAAAAAGGCCATTCTCAAATTCACTGTAGGACCCTTTTTCTTCAGCCTCTGGGATCCTACACTCTGCCTCCTACAACCTAATTGCGTAGTATGGGAACTACCTGAAAGGCATGCCACTCTTCTGCCCATCCCAGATAGGTTTTAAAAGAAGGTATCAAATTCTGTACTTGTATCTCTACCTAGTGCTAGGCCTTGTAGACACAGGAAAAGATGTATTATCTGTCCAGAAAGCAAGACTCACTTGTGACTGTAAAACTCTCAGAGACCCATATAAAATGTAAAGATCTTAATAAATGAAAACTAGAGCTGCAGGCCTGAATGTGGTGGTGCATTACTGTAATTCCAGCACTTATGAGGCTGAGGAAGGGGACCTGCAACAAAGTAAGACCAGCATGGCTACATAGTAAGTAAGTAAAGCCAGCCTGAAATATACAGTGAGACCCTATCTCAAAAAAAAGACCAGTGAGGGGGCAGGGAGATAGTTCAGCAGCATAAACACCTGCCTGGCAAGCACAAGGTCCTAAATTTGATCCCAGGTACTGGAAAAAAAAAAAAAAAAAAAAGCTGAGGCAAAAACTCCCATTTCTCATCTATAATACAGAATACAAGCTTCCTCACAGAAATGGCATGGTTTTATGTGATCTAGGGCTAGGTATTAATATGCTTATAGTCAAAATTATCTTTTGACATGGTTGGAGCTAGAGAGGAGGGGCAAATAGGGAGTTGTTTAATGAGGACAGTTTAAATCTTCTAAATGAAAGTTCTGGACATGTATTTTTTTGGGGGGGTTAGGACAGGGTCTATCTAGTTCAAGCTAAGCTTAAATTTGCAGCAGTCCTCTAAGTGCTGTGATTAGTTGCACATCACCATGCCTATCTTGGTTTCGGGGGGTAGAGGATTTGGTTGTTTGTATTTATTTATTTTTTGGTACCAGGAATCAAAGTCAGGAACTTGCGCTTGTCAGACAGGTGCTTGTGCCACTGAGCTACACTCTTGGCCCTTTGTGGGATTTTTTGAGACAGGGTCTTACTGTGCAACTCAGGATATCCTCAAAATCACAGCAATCTTCCTGTATCAGGCCCCATCCCCACCCCAAGTACTGGGATTACAGGCAATAGTTTGGGTTTTGGTTGTTGCTTTTTTTTTTTTTTTTTTTGCAGTACCGGGGATTGAACTCAGGACCCTGCACTTGCCAGGCAAGCGCTTATTCTACTGAGCTATCTCCTTGGGCCCAGATTTGGGTTCTTGAGACAGGGTTTTGCTTTGTAGTTCAGGCTGCCTTTAAATTCACTATGTACCCCAGGCTTGCCATGAATCTGCAGCAATCTGTCTCTCAAGTACTGAGATTATTAAGTGTGTACCACCATGTGTGGCTTATGATGCTTGCACAAAAATGTAAAAATACTTAACACTACTGAATTTTATGTACACTTTTCCCATTCCGTTTACAGTAATCCTTTTGTTTTTTTGGAGGAACCGGGGATTGAACTCAGGCCCTTACACTTGCCAGGGAAGCGCTTATTCCACTGAGTCATCTCCTCTGCCCCAGTTTGCAGTAATTCTTATGAGAACCATAAAGATCAACTAAAGACAGAAACTTAAAGAATTCCCCAACAAATGTCTGGTCATCTAAATCCTTTTACCAGGGCCGGCAGTATAGCTCAGCAGACTAAGCGCTTGTTTAGGTAAATGCAGGGGCCAGGGTTCAATCCCTGGCTCCACATGCCGTGCCAGCCCTGCCTCCGGGTACACTGAGCCAGTGATGGAGTCCGGGCGCGGTGGCACATGCCTGTAATCCCAGCACTTAGGAGGCAGAAATCAGGAGGATCGCTACTTATGTGGGCTATGTAGTGGTCATGTGCTTAGCATGTATGAGGCCCTAAATTCAGTTCCCAGTATAAAAATATAAAATAAAATTCATGATAGGTAAAGACAAAGAATTCCAGAGTATTCTTGCTTTCCTGCAGGGTTTGGTTTGGTTTGCCTTGTTGGGTTTTTGAGATGGTCTCTCTATATATTCAGGCAGTTCTTAAACTGGCTATATAACCCAGGCTGGCTTTGAACTCGACATTGATCCTCCTACCCTGGCCTCCCAGTGCTGGGATTACAGGCATTTGCCACATCTGGCACCTGAAGGATTTAATCTTCTTGTTTAATAATCAATCTTCATAGCCTTAATATAACATGAAATTGACTTTCCATTAGAAAGACTATAAGATAGGAAAATCTCTAAAATTCAGTTCATCCTTAAAAACATGAGAAGCCAAACACATGCCTAAAGACTTCATGGTTTGTTTCCTATCTTTTCAAGCACTGGGCTACATCCTCTCTGAATATCTCTGACCTTAGTTCACATGCTTACCTAAACTGAAAATGTCACAGCCTGGGACACAGTTCTAACTCCATGAACCCTGATCAGCTTGCTTCTCTCTGAGCCTTAGTCTCTCCAGCTATACAATGAGGACACTCAAGGCTTTCCAGGTACAACACCATGGTGATCCAGAGGAATACGGTCTGCACCCACCATTTAGTACATAGGGCTTCCGTACAAGCTCCTTGGGCCTCTCCTCTATGTCCACCTCCATGGCTTTCACCTGCAGAAAACAGAGCATGTAAGACCAGTAAACAGGGAGAAAGCCTTTTTTTTTTTTTTTGGAAAGAGCTTTCATCAGGGAAGTCTGACCTGGATAAAAGTATTCCACCCGTCCCATTATTATGATATTACACATAAAAATCCCTCTCAAGGTCTAACAATAACATGGAGAACCAATGCAAGTTTTCACAAGTACAATCCACAGTTCTCAAAAGAAACACAAGCAAGGAAACATTTCCATGTTAAATAACACTCTTTGCCTTCCTTACTCGGTTGAGTGATAACTCAACAAGTGAAACAATGCCATGACAGTGCTTTATAATTTACAGTGGGGGAAAATGTCAGGTATCTTCTCTATGGAGCAGGCCTACCTGCCAGTGCTTAACTAGTTTCATATTTGTTCAAGAAACATTAATGTTGTTTGCCTTTGGCATGAAGGAAAAGGCAAAGATGTGTAAAGATAACAGGACAAATTCATTCTGCATTCCCATGGGTTAACTACTGAGCTGACAAAACACAAGATTATGTTAATGGAAAAAGGCATAGACAACAAACAGCTAAGTAAATAAGTACAAAGTACCATCATGTACCTACAAGTTCTAAAAATTAAAGGGAGTCAATTACTGGGTAAGAGGAATTTTAATTTTGAAAGCTTAAAAGGGTGGCCTGAAAAAGACTTAAGAGACAAAAATCAATTCTAGGTAAGCCTCAGGTGAAGGATGACTGGGAAAAGATGTAGAATACTGTAAAGATCTTAAGCTCTGGGAGGAACCTTATTAGGGAAATCAAGGACAGCTAAGTTTACATTCTGGAAAATACCACTGACATGCATGGGACTGTCTAAGGAAAAATATTTTATGTTGGAAGAAAGAAGCTCCAGCCCAAGTCTAAGTGTGTGTTCAACAGGGAGCGCGCGGGAGGTATAAAGGGCCTCTTGAGCTTGGTGCAGGAGGAGCGCTTGGCAGTGGGCAGAGGTTGGAAACCCTGGAAGGATGTGAAACACATCGAGGCAGAGGGGGAAAGAAGGAGGAGTGAAGAAAGGGAAAGGAGAGAAAGAAATTAATAAAGAGGGAAGGAGACCAGTACCGAAAAAAAAAAAAAAAAAAGAAAGAAAAGAAAAAAGGAAGGCGACAAGGGCCAGCCCCCCTTCCTAGTACCTTTCTCTTACGGACGGGAACCGCCTTGTTGGGGTCCATGGCCAGACCCATTTCTGCCAGGTTCTGCCGTACAGATTTGGTGTGGTCCCAGGCATGTCGGATATGGGAGCTACCGGCAAAGAGAGAAAGATCCGTGTTCTGTCATCTCGTGGGCCGTTCCGGCCAAGGCCCCTTCCTCCCCTACGCTGGCCCCCTCACCACTCGATCCGCGGCGCTGCCTTCCGTCGAGCATTCCGGTTGAGGCGCTTTCGGTTGATGTTATAACCATATTTCTGCCTCCGAGTCTTGCCTTTGGCCTTCGGCATCGCGACTACCAATGCACCAGGAGTTCACCCAGCACTATCTGAGAACCTCGTGTTGACAGACTCCTTCCGTCGGGTGCGGAAGAGGTTGGCAAGCTTTCTGGGAAATGTAGTCTTTTCTGCATCGGGTTCTCGCTACTTACTACGACTCCCGGAATGCAACGGGCACTTGCGTTTGCGTACTACGCTCAGAAAAATGTCTCCCCGCCCCTCTCATGACCTCATCGGGAGGCGGGGCTTAGAGTCCAGGTTTTGTCCTGCGTTAGATTGGACATGGCAACTCCCGGCCCGGTGACTTCGGAGGCACCTTTTGAACCACCACAACCCCCAGTCATTGAAGGTTTTAAACCCACTGTCTACACCCACCCAGAAAGCGTCAAGGAAAAATTCCTTCGCAAGACTCGTGAGAACCCAATGGTACCCATAGGTGAGTGAGTGCTATAGGAACTGTAAACTCACAGGAAAGTGATGTTGGGGGGAATGAAATAGGGGAGGACCTAAGTAGGGGAAGACCTAAATAGTGATGTTTGGGGGAATGAAATAGGGGAGGACCTAAATAGGGGACTGAATGAGAACGCACCAGAGTTGTGGGGGAAGGGGTGGGACGTTGAAGCTGATTGGAAAAGCCGTTGTGTGGGTTTAGGGGCGGGATAAGGTCGCTGGGGTGAGACGGACTCTGGAGCGAAGAGGACTCCTCTTGCTGCTTCATAGGGGCCTGGGGAAGGATTCCCAAATCCCAAACAGACGTGCAGAGCCAGACCTCGTCCCCACTGTTTTGTCTCCTCGTCCCCAGGCTGCCTGGGCACTGCGGCCGCCCTCGCCTACGGCCTCTTCTGCTTCCATCGAGGCCACAGCCAGCGCTCCCAGCTCATGATGCGCACCCGGATTGCTGCCCAGGGCTTCACGGTCGCAGCCATCTTAGTGGGTTTAGCTGTTTCTTCTATGAAGTCTCGACCCTGAGCTCGCTGCCACAGCATAGCATAGCAGCTCTGGTGGTCATTCCAAAACCCAGGAGCAACTACCAGCTGTGCCAAGAGACTTATTCCCTCGTCTGCCAGGCTTCTGTGTTGTTATGTAACCGACAGATTCTTCTCAGAAATCCAGGTTTCGTTTAAGTGTTGCACACTTGATTGTGTCGCACCTCCACTCCTAGTACATAATAAAGTAATAAACCTGTAGTTTGGTGACATCATTCTCAGTGGCACCTCCCATAGTCAAAACCATGGGTTTTGGTGTTTGGTTTTAGCACAAAACAGATGATAGCCTGAAGTGGGCCTTAGAAATCATATAGTCTGAGAGGGATGGGATGGTGCAACCTGTAATCCCACCACTGGGAAACTGAGGAAGGAGGATGCCAAATTCCAGCCCAGCCTGGGCAACTTAGACCCTTTCTCAAAAAATAAAACTGGATTGTGGATATAGTTCAGTGCAGAGATCCTGGGTTCACCCCCCAGTACCTAAAAAAATGAAAAGGTAATCATGTAGTCTAATGATTCCCAAACTTTCCTTGTAACAGTCAACCAGGGCACTTGTTAAAAGTAGAGATTCCTAGGCACCTCTCCTCACCAAGCATGATGGCACACACATGTAATCCCAGCACTGCAGAGGCTGAGGCAGGAGGATCACTGCAAGTTTGAGGCCAGCCTGAACTATACAGAGAGACCTTCTCTCAAAACAAAAGGGTCAGGAATTAAATGGACTACTCGTGGTGCTACTGGAGGGTGAGGTATGAGAACCTAGCTAGTAGTTTTCAAACTTTCAGTAGTCCTTAGATGAGACTTGCCTTTCTCCTTTGCCTTCATCCCACCTTTGTTGTTGTTGTTTTTTGCGGAACTGGGTATTGAACTCAAGCCTTAGCACTTGCCAGGGAAGCGCTTATTCCACTGAGCCATCTCCCGGCCCCTTCATCCCACTCTTGCCTCCTGAGAGCCTCTAGGGCTCCACTGATCTAGACCGGTGGTGGCAACATTGTAGAGCTTTCAGTGATAACAAACAGCTGGCTGCAGCATAGATTAGCCACCACTGATCTAGACCATGCAGCACTTTTTTTTTTTTTTTTGCGGAACCGGGGATTGAACTCAGATCCTTGCGTTTGCCAGTCAAGCACTTATCCTACTGAACCATCTCCCTGGCCCGACCATGCAGCTTTTGAACATGAAGTCTAATGGGAAGTTTTTGGTCTGCAATAAATTCTAAAGTGTTGATTTGGTCTGGCCAAATAGCTCAGCGGATTTAAGCCCCTGCGCAGGGGCCAGGGGTTCAATCTCTGGGCCTGCGGTGCCAGCCCCGCGCCCAGGGTGAGCTGAGACTGCAATTGAGACTGGGCGAGGTGGGGTGCGCCCCTATTCCCAGCACTTGGGAGGCTGTAAACAGTAGAATCACTACAAGTGAGACCCTGAACACCCTGTAGATCCTTCCCTAAAATACAGAAAAAATAAAAAAGTGTTGGTTTAGGAATCTAGGCTACATCATCTGTGACTCTATCTTTCCTCAACACCACCTTCAAGCTGACAAAGGGAAAAGACTGAATGTAGAAAATGCACTTCTTATGCCTCCGACACAGTCTAGATCTCTGAGTGGAAGAGCTTATGGTAAAGGTTTCTTGTCTCTACCTCTGTCAGCTCTGAGTCAGAAGTGAATGTAGAGCAGTACATTATCCTCAAGATACAAGGAAAGGGCTGGGGAGATGGCTCAGTGGAATAAGCGCTTCCCTGGCAAGGGCAAGGGCCTGAATTCAATCCCCAGTTCTACCAAAAAAAAAAAAAAGATACAAGGAAAGGATATGGATGTGAGAACAGTGATATTTTACAGGGAATGTCACTATAAGTGTGGTGTTACTGTGTCCTCCCAAAATAATAGGTTCAAGATCCAACTCGTATTTCTTTAGAATATGACCTTATTTGGCAATAGGGTCTTGACAAAAGTAATAAAGGCGTCAGGGTGGACTTTAATCCAATATGACTGGCATCCTTATAAAAAGGGAAAGTTTGGACATGAAGACATGCAGAGGGGGCAGACAACAAACAGTGGCCACATGAGGATTGAAGCAAAGCTGTAGCAGTGCACCTGCAAGCCAAAAAATGTGTCAGGCCACCAACAGCCAGGAAAGAGCCACAGAACAGATCCTTCCCTGGTGCCTTTTGAGAAACTGGCCCTGATGTCACCTTGATTTTGGACTTGTAACCTTCAGAACTATGACACAACAAATTTCTTGTCAGTTTGTGGTTACAGTAGTCCTAAGGAATTTACCTTGCTAGCAATTAAAGTCTGTGCAGGTCATGTTGGCTGGAACATCCTTACAGCCTCTGCTAAAGAGGCAGAAGTAAACTAAAAAGGAAAAAGACCACCCCAGTGTGGTGGTCCACACCTGTGATCCCAGCACTCAGGGGGTTGAGACAGGATGATTGTCCCAAGTTCAGGGCCAGCTTGGGCTACATAGTTCAAGGCCAGCCTGAGTTGCCAAGCAAGACCTTGTCTCAAAAAATAAAAAAGGGGGGGCAAGAAGGTGTGGCCACTGGTTATAATCCACAGGAGGACACGGTTAAAGAGGGGGCAAAACCCCCAGGGTTCTGGCCTCTCCACATCCAGAATATCCTGGGCAAATGTGAGAAAGGAGCCTGGCAAAAGCTACTTTCACCAGCCTCTGACTCAGGCTTGGAAGCTACCACTTAGAGCCTCTGTTGTGCTTCTTTCCTCACTCTATTCCTTCTAGAAGCGTTGGTGCCCTACTTACATGTGAGTCTACCAGAAACCCTACCTCAGTGGTTTCAGGGTCAGTAAGGATCAAGGTTGCAAAAGTGTCCTGTGAAAGGTGGTCTTTCCTCCTGAGGATGGAGGCAGCAGACACAGGTGGGAGCTGCCACTTCTGGCTGGGAGCTCTTGGGTTTCCTGGGGAACAACCTCGTCTTTTCTCAAGGCCATGAAACTGGGAAGTTTCTAAGCACAAACTGAACCCTGACACCAGTTATGGCTTCCAGAGAAATAAGGATGATAATAAATAAATGTAAAAAGAGTTAACAACACACCCTTTAAGCCAAGAAAAAATACATCAGGAGGGACAGTCACAACTGAGTGGACAAGAGAAGGCATGAGGGCTGGACCATGGGGCCAGGAGGGAGTGAGGAACAGGAGGGGTGAGGATCCTCTGGACAGCCCTGGGAGATGGACAGGGACAGAATAGACTGTGTGGCAGCTGCCAGAGGGTTTCCACTTTCCAGCCTGGCCTTGGCAGCCGATCCTCCTCTGCCCTAGCATGGCCCTTGCTTCAAGACCATGCTTATGGCAGGCATCTAGCGGGACAGCGGTGTCTGCTTCAGCGACATGAGCACCGAGCGCAGCCGGGACACATCTTTGCACTGCTTGCTGCTCTTGGGGTTGAAGTCACACAGCTGGGCCACCTTCTCCCATTCTGTGCCTGGGGTGTCCTCCTTGGATTCCTTCACGAAAGCCTCCTCAGATGCCCTGCAAGTAGAGAGGGGACAGCGGTTTCAGAGCTGCCTGTCTGTCTCCAAGGCAGTGATGCCCTTCTGCTGAGCAAGGCTGCTACCCCATTCCACACTGGGACACTCGATTGAGTTCTCCCCAGCCCAGTGCCCCCGACTGCACTTCCTAGGAACACAAGAAGCATAAGGGCATGAGAAGAAGTGAAGGACAATTTGTAATAGCTAAATCTTGAAAACAGCCCAAGTGCCCCTTGACGGATAAATGGAAAAAGATGTGGGCTTTATTTTGTTTGTTTGTTTGTTTGTTTTCTTTTGAGACAAGGTCTCACTATGTAGCCCAGGCTGGCTCCAAACTTGCAGCAATCCTCCTGCCTCAGTGTCCTGAGTGCTGGGATGATAGGCATGTGTCAGCTGTGGTTTTTTTTTTTTTTTTAATACCATTAATTACTACTCTACCAAAAAGAAGACTTAACTTTAGACATTTCTAACTGAATGGATGTACCTTGAGACTAATTTTAAGTGAAAAAAATCAGACACACATATGCAAATACTACATTGTTGGGCAGGGGAGATAGATTTAGTGGCAAAGTACCTGCCTGGCAGGTGTAAGATCCTGAGTTAGATTCCTAGTACCCCCTCAAAAAAAAATCTTTAAAATACACTACATTTTGAGGCTAAGGAGATAGCTCAACGGCAAAGCAACAGCCTGGCAAGCACAAGGTCCTCAGTTTGATTGCCAGTAAAATACTGCATTGTTTCTCTGTTGTGAGAAATTAGAATGTATAATAAAAATTGGGAAATGGGAATAAAATATTCACATGAAAAGAGGAACGAGGGAGAGGAAGGGAAACTGAAAGAAGGAAAAAAATGAGAAAAGGAAAAATGGAAACAAAGCTTTTGTAAATAAGGAAGGGGAAGGAAATGAGAAAAAAAGAAGCAAAATATGTCACATACAGGTACAAATTCCTATGAGACTGTGGTCATCATGTATATCTAAAGTGTACCAATAGGGCCAGGGAGATGGCTCAGTGGAATAAGCGCTTCCCTGGCAAGCGCAAGGGCCTGA